TAGATAGGGTTCGAGTGATAGATAGGGTGTGAGAAATTTTAAGTAGTGTTTGTTTCTTAATGGTGATTAGTACTGGTTAGGGTTTGAAGCATAGCCTGTCTCTTATACACATCTAGATGTGTATAAGAGACAGGAATATAGCTTATTTGGAAAAAAAAAAAAAAAAAAAAAAGGACCACACAGGAAAAAAAAAAAAAAAAAAAAAAAAAAAAAAAAAAAAAAAAAAAAAAAAAAAAAAAAGACTACAGATGATATCTTAAGGCTCCTTTCAATAAAAAAAAAAAAAAAACAGCACATGACCAGCACCTCTGTACAGTTGGGAGAATCACAGTGTGTTTCAAATGGGGCTGGGGCCAGGCTTGGGTTAAAGCTATAACAGAGGTGCCCTGTATTTTGGGGGTATCTACTGACCCCAAAACAGTGTGGGTGCCGTTTCTTGGGGATATTGGTGAATCTAAGCCTGCACCACACAGCAGGCCTGACCCCCAAAACAGTGTCGGAGCGCCATGTATTGGGGGTACTCATGGTTTGTTAAGAAAAATGTAGCTTCAGAGCGCTACCGTCTTCACACGAACAGAATGTACCATCATTTTCGCCGCATCTGGACTGAAAGTTGGGCCAAATACGGACGTAATGACCGTAGTAGGTTCTATTCGGATGAAGACGCCAGGCTGGAAGGTGCTGGTTGGTAGAACCTCGGCATGATTCCACCCACTTTTAAAAGGCCTTAGATAATGGGTTCGAACTGCGAACCGGGATGCATGTAATAAATATTAAAGAATGTTAAGGGGGTTAACCAAGTAGGATGGTGCTTGGCTGACACTTTGGCTGATACTTGTGACCGAACGGATCTGAAAACCCCCTCTGTCTTTGGACAGCGGACTTGAAACTATAGCAGCTGAGCTGAGCTGAGCTGAACTTGAGCATCATTCTCGTTGCCCAATGGGCTTGAAGCTATAGCAGCTGAGATGAGCTGAAGGTGAGCATCGTTCTCTTTGCCCAACGGGCTTGAAGCTATACCAGACTATAGCAGCGGCTGAGCTGAGGTTTAGCTGCTTTAGCATCGTGCTCTTTGCCCAATGGGCTTGAAGCTATAGCAGACTATAGCAGCGGCTGAGCTGACGGTGAGCGTCGTTCTCTTTGCCCAACGGGCTTGACGCTATAGCAGACAATAGCAGCGGCTGAGCTGAAGTTGAGCATTGTTCTCTTTGCCCAACGGACTTGAAGCTATAGAAGCTGAGATGAGCTGAAGGTGAGCATCGTTCTCTTTGCCCAACGGGCTTGAAGCTATAGCAGACTATAGCAGCGGCTGAGCTGAAGTTGAGCATCGTTCTCTTTGCCCAACGCGCTTGAAGCTATAGCAGACTATAGCAGCGGCTGAGCTGAAGTTGAGCATCGTTCTCTTTGCCCAATGCGCTTGAAGCTATAGCAGACTATAGCAGTGGCTGAGCTGATTTTTAGCACCGTTGTCTTTGCCCAACGGGCTTGAAGCTATAGCAGTGGCTGAGCTGAAGTTTAGCATCGTTCTCTTTGCCCAACGGGCTTGAAGCTATAGCAGACTATAGCAGCAGCCGAGCTGAAGGTGAGCATCGCTCTCTTTGCCCAGCGGACTTGAAACTACAGCACCTGGCTGCGACCGACCGATTGGAAGAAGTCACCACTGCTTCGTCAGACAGTTGATGAAAGTCATCAACGGTCCCCGATCCCCGGAGGTTGCCGCGCATTTACTGCGGCGGTAGAAGGCAGTACCTGGGAAATTTACTGGTGGCTTAAAGTTGTATCTGACCAGGGAAAAAAAAAAAAAAAAAAAAAAAAGCTGTATCTGAAATACAGCTCTAATGACCATGAGGCCGTCTATTTGGCAGAAGATAGCAGGCTTTTCAAAGCTGCCCCCTGCTTTGTGGCCGAATGGCAGACGATGCGTGTGCTCGTCCATAGCCCGTGCAACAGTAAGAAAAATGCCGTTGACTCCGAATCGTGAGACCTGCTTTTTTTGGCTTATAACCACCACTACTTCTTCCCATGTGGGCCACCGTCAGGCCTCCGAATCTTTAGGAGGCCGAAACGGAACAGCGGCCGGTGATGAGATAGCAACGGTGGCCGTCGTTGGGCCCGGCGGCCTATTTTTTAGGAGTAGGATATTTGCCCCTTTTCCCAACAGCGGGAGAGGTAGTGGTGCTTTATTGAGCATTTCTGACATTCTTAGCATCCATGTAGACAGGCTCTTCACTGTCTAACTATATTATAGTAATTATACTATATATATATGTTGTCCTTCAGCTAGTCTACCAGCCGGGCCGCCCGGGTCACCATATTTTCCCGGGCGGCTCGGCCGTGCAAGGACCAGGGAAGGTCCCAGCCAAAAAAAAAAAAAAAAAAAAAAAAAAAAAAAAAAAAAAAAAAAAAAAACCGAAAAAAGTTAAAAAAACTATGTTATGCAGAAAAATAGACTCAACAACTTTTGCCTCAGGGTCACATCTGCGCAGGGCGATGGCTTAGGGTCCCGCAAACAGAGCGCTAGCGCAGCGGTAACGCTGCGTTAGCGCGTCACTATTACGGTGCGTGGGCAGTGGGGGATCACACGGGGTTAGCTGTCATTAAGCTATGCTTAGCCAGAACTTGCTGTTGGGCATGGCGGAGGCGGAGGGGTGAGAGAGCGCGTGGGCGTTGAGGTGGAGGCCGCTTCGAGGGGGCACAACCATGCACCCGCCATAGCCCAGTCTTGGTCAACGACAGTTGGTAATCCTAGATTGGCCGTGAAAGGAAGGGGAGAGATGTGGGGCTGGTCAACGGGCAGGATGTGCGCACCGTACATATCAGTATTATCACCTGATCAGGGGCTTAGCCCTCTGGTTATAGATACGTAACACTGTTGTGTTGTGGCGGTGGATGCAATTTTATCTGAGTGATGAGCTGGAGATGATGGAAGAGAGTACATCGACCAACGTCGACTTCCGGGAGAGAGATGATGGACTTCACACAGCGACTGGTATCGCCCACAACGCTGCCAAAATGCTCAGCCGGGGCTTCAGCTACGACCGGGGTTTGTCCGCTGTCGCTGATGCTCCTGCTTTGGACGTGGTGTTGCTCAGGACCTCCTAATCTTTGGATCTCTAACGGATTGTTGATTGTGTTCATGAACAGCACAACTGTTAGGCTGTATAGGTTTGGAATAGGCATTCGGTGAACACCGATTTTAGGTGAGAGAGAGAGAGAGAGAGAGAGAGAGAGAGAGAGAGAGAGAGAGAGAGANAGAGAGAGAGAGAGAGAGAGAGAGAGAGAGAGAGAGAGAGAGAGAGAGAGAGAGAGAGAGAGAGAGAGAGAGAGAGAACCGTACTTGATTTTCGTTTATTGCCTGTGGTTTCGAATTGATGATGAATTGGAATTGTTTTACCGCCTATGACTTATTAGGGTAAGGGTAGGGTTTGGCGATTCAGGGAGAGCTTGATTCACTCGCTGTTGACAACGGGACTCGGTCTTTTCCTTATTGGATCGCTGAATTGAAAACCTCTGTTTGGTTTATGATTTCGGCTCATAAGTTGTGATATACTACTTTCTTGTGAAAACGTGAACGGGTGTATCACGATTTTTGCTCTCTAGTTGCGATTTGCTACCTTCTTGTGAAGAATGGGTGTATCGCGACCTTGGCTCTTTAGTTGTGATTCGCTGCTTCCTTGTGAAAACGCGAATAGGTGTGTCATGATTTGGCCTTATCGTTGCGATTCACTACCTTCTTGTGAAAATGCTGGATCAAGGCTTGCCTTGGGTTTCGACTGGCTCTGTGGAATTAGGTTGCTTACCTTGGCGATGGCTAACTAGGTATTTGGTGATAGTAAGTTGATTGGTTGGTTGGTGGTGTAGTACACCAGATTGAATTTTGGAGCTGGGTCCGTTTCTTAATGGCTGGTGAGCAGTAGATAGGGTTCGAGTGATAGATAGGGTGTGAGAAATTTTAAGTAGTGYTTGTTTCTTAATGGTGATTAGTACTGGTTAGGGTTTGAAGCATAGCTACGCCGGACCGGACACCGGACCGAATCCGGACCCCGGACCTCCCGGGCCCTTCCGGACTTCCGGAAAACCGGAATATTCCGGAATATCCGGACCGGTCCGGATCCCATGTTCGGATTGCGGTCCGGATCCCTTATATTGTCCGGAAAAAAAAAAACAAAAAAAAACAACGCCTGTACTCCTACTACTCCTCGTCATGAACTTTGCCTCTTGTCTCGTCCTCCTATAGTTTTCCCCCTACTCCTCCCCCTCCTCCTTGTTGCTTCTGTGGTGTAAGGGGTGTGTGTGTATACAGGGCCTAGCTACGCCATGCGCAAATTAGTGATGTGGCACATATGCACTTTTTTTTTTTGTTTTTTTTTTTCAAGGGGTGTGTGTCTATACAGAGAGAGAGAGAGAGAGAGAGAGAGAGAGAGAGAGAGAGAGAGAGAGAGAGAGCAACGGATCCCCTTAACACCGCTCAGATGGCCCGTGCAGGCTATCTGAAGGGTCCTCACCCCCATGTAGCGCAGACCCCCCCAAAAATCGAGGCAGGCAGCAATATGAAGTAGAGCATGAGCTGCCAATATATACTCAAGATTCGAGTTCAGGTCTGTGTTTCAGCAGTTATGGGTTGCTCGCGTAGCTAGGACCTGTTGGTCTCTGCACGTGAGTCTTAGGGCTTGGCTGCACTACTCACAAAATGTGCAAAATTTGAATGAATCTTCTGCAGAACGTGGAATAATATGCCACCATATGTTTTGTCTTTTGTGCATTTGGTGAGTAGAGGCCCTTAGGGCCAATGCACGTATTCCTAAGAAAAGAAAAACGAGAAAAGAAAAGAAAAACGAGAGAAGAAAAGAAAAACGAGAAAAGGAAAGCAAAACGAGAAAACACAGAAATAGTGACCCATAACCGAGATGCACAGACCTGAATTTGAATATAGACTATATATTCTCTGCCCACGCTACCAAGTACACGTTTGAGTTGCACCTCTGCATGACGTAGGGTCCCAGCTAATACGCTTGAGGGATCCTTCTTAAAAGAGGCTGGACACAATGAGGACATTAATACTCAGATGTACAAACCCCCTCGTAGACTTTCCGGGACGATCCAGAGGGTGGTAAAAAATGAGGCACTATTATTTTGGGGTGGCCCAGGGCGTGAACAAACACCCTGGACCACCCAAAAAATTTTGGGCCATTGGGCTGGGACCCTCACATCCGGACCAAGATCCGGACCCGGACCCCGGACCCCGGACCACGGACAGTCCGGATCCCTGTCCGGTGGTCCGGATCGTAGCTATGGTTTGAAGTAATTTCGAGTAATTTTTATTGGTTTTGGCCTAGTTAGAAGTACCAAGGGTTGGATCACTCTCATCGAATTTTGGCTGCAGTTGGGGATGGGATTGGTCCGGAGGGCTTTTCACAGCCTCGCATGCCTGCGGCTCATATGTAAGGGACGCTGGACCCGTTTTCCAGCATATAATGGAATGCCTTGATTTTGAAGAAAAAAAAAAAAAGAGGAAAATCTTTACCAAAAAAAAAAAAAAAAAAAAAAAAAAAAAAAAAAGATTTTTTATTTATTTTTTATTTTTATATCTTTTTTGCCCGGCCGGGCAAGTGCACCCGAACCACTCTGGTAGCCCAGTCCTTCAGTCTAATTATGTTTGTTAAACTTTGTTTTTTTTTTTTGTTTTCTTTTTTTTTTTGTCCTTCAGTTCCTAACACATTTTTTGACGGTTCGACATGAATGTGCTTGATGTCTTTGGTTTGTCAGGTTGCTGCGACTGGAGAGTGGTTTGGAGATACACAGAAAAATCTGGCTGGTTGACGATTTGACGCTTCTGGATGCGCACACATGTTCTTCAACTTCTTCTCCCACGATGACCGATAACCCGTGTCGTATTAATTTTTTTTTTGTGTGGACCATTTAGAATTTTAGATTGATTTTTTTTTTTTTTTTTTTGGTTATTTTTTTTTTTCATCCTGTCGAGCGTGCTTTTTGTGTTTACCTTTTTCTTTTCATTTTGCCGTGATCTCCCTGACGGTGTTTATGCTGCTCCGTCCTTCTCTCCTTGAGCTCCGGCGGACATCTCATCCAGAGATGGAAGCTTATCTATAGAAACTCCCTGTCAATTTCAATTACTTCTTCTATTATCTTTTCCTGAGTACTTGGTAATTTTTCTGCTCTTCTTATCAATTTTTATTTTTTATCAATTTTTATTTTTTATCAATTTTTATTTTTTTATCAATTTTTTATTTTTATTAATTTTATTTTTTTTTCTACTCTTTTCTCCTCAGCTGTCATAAGCAGTGCCTTGTGGGATCACCATTGTGAATGATAATGGCATCGTTGCGGCCCGTGTCTAGTCGGCAGACGCTGAACTGGATCAGGTGCCACGTCAGATCCTCACCGTTGATCTGTCAGAGAATTTTATCCGGTCAGGATTGTGGGCACAGCAGTATTGCACCAGGCGGCTGCTGTGTTGCTGCGCCAGGCGTAACAGCGTCACGCTACGTTGCAAGTAATTCATTGCCCCGGGATCGTACTCATGGAGCTGAGGAGCAGGCGCACAGCTTACGGGAGACGACGAGCTTGATTCCCGGAGACCCGCTCCGACAAAACGACCACTCAGGCGATTTGCACAGCCACTCTGCGTTGAGCGATTTTTCCCGAAGTCGCAGGTTGTCGGCTGGCCGCTGCATCCCATTTGGCAATTACGGGCGGTGGACGAACCGGTGTTGCAATGTGCGCAGTTACGGCAGTGTTGCGAGTGCCGCACAGAGTACGGACACGACTGGAACTACGACCGTCTCTAATCAAGCTGCGGCGATAAAGCAGCTCAGAGAGCGGACGGGTGCACCCATCGTGGAGGTGAAGAGTGTCCTCGTTAACTGCGGATGGGATATGGATGCCGCGTACACAGAGCTACGGAAGAAGGGTCTGATAGCCGCAGGCAAAAAGGCGGCGCGAGTTGCGGCAGAAGGATTGCTGGGCGTCAGTGTGGACATGGGCGCGAAGACTGCCGTTGTTGTCGAGGTGAACTGCGAGACGGATTTCGTCTCACGAAATGCCCGTTTCCAGGATCTCGTCACGCGCACGGTGGGCAGGGTGATGGACTCCGCGTGGTCTGGCGAGTCCCACGGTCTCGTCCACAGTGTTCCTTTGCAGTCTGTGGAAGAGTTTGATGTAGTCACAAGCGCCGACACGAAGCTGAGTATCCGGGAAGCTGTCGCCGAGGTTGCCGCGCTGACCGGCGAGAACGTCAAACTCCGACGCGCCTTTGCGATGCGCACGGAGAAGGGTGTCATCGCCCACTACTTGCACAACGTCGCGGGCCCTGGTCTGTCGAGAATCGTAGGACTGGTTGCTCTGAGCGGAGGAGACGAGACGAAGGAAGCGATGCTGCGAAGCTTCGGTCAGAAACTTGCAATGCATGTTGTGGCATCAAGGCCCCAGTTCTTGGACATTGCCGACATTACCGAGGACGTACTGAAACAGGAACGCGAGATATTGCGCTCGCAGGCAGCCGTCACTGGGAAACCGGAATCGGTGATTGAGAAAATGGTGGAAGGACGGATGAGAAAGTTTTACGAAGACGTTGTGTTTATGGAGCAGAAGTTTGTTATGGATGACTCGAAGAAGGTTCGCGAAGTTCTTAGTGATATGTCGAGAGAACTAGGATCTACCATCCACGTTGACGAGTTCCTGCGACTACAATGCGGAGAGGGAATCGAAAAGCAGAGCAAGGACTTTGTCACGGAAGTTGCTGCTCAAGCTGGAGGGCTAGCTTGATGCAACAAGGTCATTTTCCACTTTTTTTCCCTGGGCACTGGGCATGGTGTGTGTGTGTGTGTGTGTGTGTGTGTGTGTGTGTG